AATGCGTCTTAGATTTATAGAGACATTGTTTCACAAAATAATTTGTGAAACAATGTTTCTCAAGATAGTGACATCCACAAATTTACATGGACACAACCTTCTAGGACTCCTAACGTGCAAAAATCTAAATTTGGATATTATTATATGAAGCTGAGACGTGGACATTAAAAAAATTTAATTTAAAAAGAATCGAGGCCTTAGAACTCTGGTTATACCGCAGAGTATTGAAAATATCTTGGACTGATAGAATTACAAATAAAGAAGTACTGGAGAGGGTTGGTAAAGATACAGAACTAAGCACCACTATACAAACCCAAAAACTGGAATACCTAGGCCACGTGATGAGGGGACCAAAATATAAAATTTTGAGACTCATATTACAGGGAAAGATTCAAGTAAGAAGATCTGTTGGCCGAAAGCAGAACTCATGGTTAAAGAACCTACGTAATTGGTATCAATGCAGATCAATTGATTTGTTTAGAACAGCAAGTTCTAAAATAAAAATAGCCATTATGATTGCCAACCTCCGTAGGAAGACGGCACTCTAAGAAGAAGAACCTACTAGGAATCTGCGTTCGATAATCGACCATGTAATCCAACGACAAACTTCCCAGCTGAAAACAACTGACGTAAGGGTATACCGCGGATCAGAATGTGGATCCGACCATCGCTTACTTATGGCCAACGGGATAGTTAACTATCGCAGAAACAATAATACTTAAGTAAATAATATAGAAAAGGGACAATAAGTAACATCCCTTAAATATAACCTTCTTCTTCTAGTTCCATGACCGTTATCGATCGTTGGATATCATGTTGGCTACCATATTCGCTATCGTGACTTTATTGACAGCAGCTCTAAATAACGATGTAGTTGATTTTCCATACCATTGCCTTAGATTTTTTAGCCATGATGTTCTTCTTCTACCAGGACCACGATTACCTTGGATCTTTCCCTGAATGATCAGATGTAAAAGATCATATTTTTCAGGGTGTCTCATAATATGACCGAAGTATTCCAGCTTGCGTTTCTTTATTATATTGACCAGTTGTGTTGTTTCGTTCAGCCGTCTAAGGACCTCCTCATTTCTAACTCTGTCGACCCAGCTTATTTTCAGTAGTCGTCTGTATACCCACATCTCAAAGGCTGTCAAGCGTTTAAGCATAGCTTCAGTTAGGGTCCACGCTTCTACTCCATACAGCAGGACAGGAAAGATGTAGCAAGATATCATACGAACTCTAAGGTCAATGCTAAGATCATGACTGCAAAGTACGTTTCTCATTTTTACAAAGGCAGCTCGGGCTTGTTCTATTCGGCTTTTAATTGCTGCGGTTGGATCCCAGCTCTCATTGATATTACTGCCGAGATACACGAGTTTCTCTACTCTGTCCAGTGTGGCATCTCCGACTTTTATACCGTCATCATGTATAAAATTTTGTTTGCTAACTATCATATATTTAGTTTTCTTAACGTTGAGTTTTAATCCATACTGATCACAAGTCTGTTTTATTTTGTTCATTAGATTTTGAAGGTCTTCTCCGCAATTGGCAAGGACTAAGGTATCGTCGGCATATCTAATATTGTTGACGGTTACTCCATTCACAATAATACCTTCGGTTGTCTCCATTAAGGCTTCCTTAAATATTTCTTCCGAATATAAGTTAAAAAGTAAAGGCGACAATATACAGCCTTGTCTCACTCCTCTTTTTATATTTATTTCATCCGACAGTTCTTGTTCAACCTTTATTCTTGCCACTTGATGCCAGTATAGATTTGTAATTATTCGTAGATCTTTATCGTCCAATCCAGCTGTTTCCAATATTTCTAGCATTTTGTTATGTCGGACTTTGTCAAAAGCTTTTTCAAAATCGATTGCACAAATATATACATTTTGATTTATATCTCTGCATCTCTATACTAGCACCTGTATACTAAACAAGGCTTCTCTTGTACCCAAGCCACTCCTAAACCCAAATTGAGTATTGCTAATTCTGTCCTCTAACAGCGTATAAATTCTGCTGTGTATTACTCGCAGAAAGATTTTCAAAACGTGACTCATCAGACTTATTGTCCGATAATCACCGCATGTCTTTGGACGATGTTTTTTAGGTATTGTGACAAATGTCGACTGTAACCAATCAGTTGGTAATATCCCAGTGTCATAAATTCTGTTAAAGAGATTACACAGAGCTTTAATTCCATTTTCTCCCAAAAACTTTAGTATTTCAGCACTTACTTCATCGGGGCCAAGTGCTTTTCCATTTTTTGCCGTTTGTATTGAACGTCTTACCTCACTTTCTGTTATAGATGGACCTGATATAGCAATCGGTGTATAGTGTTCTACTCTCTCATCTTCAGATAATTCAGAAATCTAGTTTTCCCATTCTTTTAACTTTTCATTGATGTCTAATATTCTGTGTCCGTTTCTGTCTTCTAAACTTTGGGATAATTGTTTCCATTTGTTTCCAGCGACCTCTTTTAATTTCTTGTGCAGATGAAATGTATCGTGTTTCTTTTCATATTGTTCAATTTCATTCAAATATAACCTAGAAAGCTTAAAAAAGATTTAATGAATTTTCTTAACAAATTACGACTAGCCTCAAAATTACAAAACGTGGATCGAAAAAATATATTAGCGGAAGAATTATACCAGCAACTTAAAAAATGCATTCATAACGCTGCAAGTGAAGCTTTGGGGTATAATGACAAACATAAAATAAAAAATCAAGAACGGTGGTCGGAGAATATGCAAACGTTAGTAAACAAGAAGAAAACTGCTTATCAGAAATGGATGTCAACGAGAAAGGGGGAAGGTTACAAGGCATATAAAAAATTAAATTCAGATGTAAAAAGAGAAGTAGTGAAAAGTAAAAATGAGATGTGGGATCGAAGATGTGCAGAGGTGGATAGGTATATAGGTGGAAAAAAGTTAAGCAAGCGTCGAAGGTAATAAAGTCTTTTCAGAGGGAAGGAAAAATTTAACTTACAGGTAATAGATCTGAAACAGGAAAACACGATTATGGGGTCTCACTAACAGAGGATAGATCTAAATTTCAAGAGATCGAAATGGAAGAAATATAAAACATACACAAATAGGTAATTAAGATAACAACCGGAGAGTTAAGCGATGCCCTTAAAAGATCGAAAAACGGTAAAGCGGCAGATTCTGGAGACATTCCAATTGAGTTGTTAAAGTATGGACCGAAAATATTGTATGAGATGTTCATTCAACTATTTAACACATGCTTAAAAGGACAAAATATCCCTAATGGTTGGAATGTTGGACATCAGCTTAATATTCAAGAAAGGGGATAAACGCAAGTGTTCTAATTATAAGAAGAATAACTGTTATCAGCTTAGTGGGGAGGTTGTACGGTCGAATAATAAAAAAAAAAGAATAGAATCAGAATACGAAGACATAGAAGAACAAAATGGATTTCGTGCAGGAAGATCGTGCACTGATGGTATATTAATTTGGCAGCAGGTAATAGACAAACGAAAGGCAAGGAATCTATCTACCTACCTATTGTTTGTAGATTTAGAGGAGGCATACGATAAGGTACCTTTGAAAAAACTGTTTCAAACATTGACGAAAGTAAGTCCCAGTATGTGGATGCTATCGCAAATATATATAAAATGCAAGAAGTGTTTTTAAACAAGAAAACTTTATATTTGAATCATTTCCAATAAGAAAGGCGCTTAAACAAGGACGTTGTCTATCCTCGACCTTATTTAAAATATATTTTTAATCAATACTAAAGCAGTGGAGGAATCAAGTATCCGGAATGGGAATAAACATAGGTGGTGGTAAATGTCTAACAACTTTATTTTTCGCAGATTAAGTAGTCGTAGCGAATGATGAAGAAGATATAGACTACATGTTTAGAGAACTAAAGAACGAATAGAAAAAATGCAGCAAGATGAATATGTCAACGACAGAGTATCTTAAACTAGGAGATAATGAAAAAGATCCAGAGTTAAAAATTAGAAACACAAAAACATGTAATGAATAAAATATCTCGGATCTATAATATCTAAAGAAGGCACTAACAAAAGAGACGTCGAAAACAATAAGCAGGAGAGAAAAATAGCGGTAAACATTATAAACTTTCTACTATGGTCTTAAGATATTAGACAAGAAACGAAATTAACAATCTATCGAACCTTGGTAGAGCCTATTATGACTTATGGGACAGAATTTTGGCAGATCACTAAAAAAGATAGAAAAAGATTAGAAATAGTAGAAATGGATTTTCTAAGGAGAGCGTGTGGTGTATCCAAACAAAATTAAATATCAGGAATAAAGATATTAGACGGGGGACAAATACTGTAAATTGAAGTGTAGACATAATTGAAACAAAACAACTAATGTGGTATGGTCACGTTAAGCGAATAAATGAAGATAAATGGCCAAAAAAGCTTTAAATTACATACCACAACAAAGTCCAAGAATTGGAAGGCCTAGGAAGAAAGTGTACGGCACATAATGAGAAATAGAGCTATCAAAGAAGACGAATTGATGGACAGAAAACGATGGTGGTCAAAATGCGAGAAGCGGCAGAAGCTGTAGTTATGTATAATATACTTGTTACCATTTTTTTTTTTTTTTTGGTAAAACTATTGACATTTCGTATAAAATTATGTTGAAACCACTTGCTTTTCCCTTGTGATAATTTGTAAATAATTCTTGTTGGTATTTTTACCAAAATATAACTTTTACAAAATAAAGCTTCTGTACTATCTCTTTAAGTTTAAAAACAAAGTATTTGAAGAAGTTGGTTTCTAACGTAACAAAAGCAAAATAATTGAAATTGTTCAAATTTTAAGGGTTATGTGAAAAACAAATTTCAACTTGATCCCCAAAAGTCAAATCAAGCAATTCCAATGTTGCAATTATGGTAAATTTTCATTATACATGAATTTTATAAAATGAAATACCACAAGAAAATAATTGAAGATCTAACATTATGCTTCTTGTAGACTTTTTGTTTGTTTTCAGTGCTGTTACAACGTTTTCTGGATATGCAAAGTGCCTATCCACAAGTAGCGGCTGTGTGGTTTGGACCTAGACTTCATTATCTAATATCGAAACCGGAATATGTACAAAAAGTACTATCAAGTCCATCAGCTTTGAATAAAGATTATCTTTATGAATTCCTGAATGACGCAAGCGAAGGTCTGATTACTGTTGGAGGTATGTTAATGATTGGAACACTCTACCTTTGGTAAGAAAATTATTTGATATTATTGATTTTTAGGAAATAAATGGAAAAAGCATCGCAGAACTATAATGCCAGCTTTTAACCAAAAAATACTAGACGCCTATCAGAATATATTTTGCAAAAAATCAGAAATATTTATAAGTGAACTTCAAAAAGAAGTAGGAAATAAAAATTTAGAACTCCACCGCTTAATATCTAGTTGTACATTGGATATAATATGTGGTAAGAATAATATAAACATAATTACTTTCTGTCCTAATAGTCCAGGTGGTATTAGTTCAGTGTGTGTATGTGTGCTATCAATTTTCTTTTACTCTGGACTTAATCCATTAGCCGAGCTGAAATTACTCTTACAAGATAGGAATCTAGTATAATCTAGTAAAATAATCCACAAGGAATCTAGGTTCCTATAGTTGGCTGTATCCCATATATAAAAAAATCATTAAAAATCCTTTATAAAGGGTATATAATTTAAAAACCCAATCGGGCTATATCACAAAACGTTTTCGGAATCCATATTCCATCATTAGTGTCCTAAAAAAGTATATTACCACTTAATTAAAAAGAATGTGAAATTTAAATTTTGACCAAGGCTAATGCAAAATGTGGTTACTAGATATACATATATGTAGCCACTAAATATAATGGTAAAAACCCGTTAAAAATTATTTGTTTAAATTTAGTTTACATTGTGTGTTATATATTATTATGATGTTAAAGTTACCAGTAGATTTGGAAACATGGCGACGTATGACTCCACGTGAAGTTGCTAATCCTGAGACAGGTGTGTCTACGAGAACTTGGTTTCGAATCTCTGGAGACCTCAGCCTTCTGTAGTCTTTCCTCGTCTCACCATTTCAAAAAAAACACCATAATTTTTTCCTTTTTACTTAAATTTACCAGAGCCACCTACAAACATTTTATTTTCACAGTTCTTGTCAGTATATGTCAATAGTCCATCAAACTCATGAACTTATAACTTATCCTTTTATATTTCTCATGTACCTAGGTTTATAACAGATAGAGCCTTTTCTTCTTAAGTTATAAGTTGAGTACTTAATTATCAACATATTACACGTCCCAACCATCAATTCTTGTTCGTCTCATATAATCGTTAACACAAAAAAAAAACAACTAACCAACTTCATCCCTTAACACTTAATCAGTTATTTTTATGTTTATGAACTTGTAACTCAAAAAGTTTTACATTTTATCAATCAGCCAATCGCGTCCACTGCTGAACATATGCCTCCCTTAGTTCTTTCCGTGTTCTCTACACTGGGCCGATTGTAGCCAGTTTCCCGCTACACGTTTTATCATCGGTCCATCTAGTGGGTGGTCGTCCTCGGCTTCTTTAATAGTTTCTGCTCTGCTCCATAAGTTTGTACAGGCAAAATGGTTGGTTATAAACCGTTCGCTTGAGACACATGGGAATTGACCTTTTTAGAATATGGCTTAATTTGCCAAATGCTGTCTATGTTAAGCCCATTGATTGTCTCTGTTTATTTTGATTTCGTGTCCCAGATATTTGTAAGTGTCTGTTTGTTGTATGGTATTATTGTCAATAGTTATATTTCCACTCATTACGAGATTTGTTATAAGTTTAGTTTTCTCAAAGTTTATCTTTAATCCTGCTCTTTCAGACAGACTTTTAAGCGAATGCATCATAGAAACTGTATCGTGTAAGTTATCTGCGATTAATACAACATCATCTGCAAACCTTAGGTGATTTAATCTTTCTCCATCTATATTGATGCCCATATCTTGCCATTGAGTGCTCTTAAATATTGACTCTAGAGCTGCCGTGAACAATTTTGGTGAAATATTGTCTCCTTGTCTAACTCCTCGACCTAAGCTGAATTTTTCTGTGTCTTCGTGTAGTCGTATACTTGATGTAGCGTTCTCGTAGATGTTTTTGATTAGTGTCGTGTACCTGTAATCTATTCGGCTTTGATTTAGGGCTTCCAGTATTGTTTTAAACTCTACAGAATCAAAAGCCTTCTCGTAATCGACAAATGCAAGAACCAGTGGTATGTTGTACTCGATGCACTTTTCTATTAAGATCTTTATGGTATGCAAATGGTCATTTGTGCCATATCCTGCCCTGAAGCCTGCCTGTTCTTTGGGCTGATAGAAATCAAGTTTAGGTGTTAACCTCTTTGTTAAGATTTTCATAAAGAGTTTGTACATATGTGTCAAGAGTCTGATGAGTCTATAATTTCTAATTCAGTAATATCGCCTTTTTTGTGTAACAAGGCTATTACTGTATTGTTTCAGTCTTTTGGAATCGTACCCACATGTAAGCATTTATTAAACAGTTCGCTTACTGATTTTAATAAAATTTCTCCTCCTACTTTTATTGCCTCGATAACGAGTCCATCAGCACCAGGCGATCGATGGTTCTTCATTTCCTTTAAAGCTGCTCTTACTTCTGACACAGTAATGGGTAAAACTATTTCCGATCCCTGATTTATGAGAGTCTTTACTCGTATCGGGAAATTGTCTTGTGGTCTTTGACTAGTATAGAGATCTTTATAAAAATCTCTGGTTATTTTTAGAATGTTTTGTTTATCTGTTGTTGCCTTTCCGCCTTTATCTCTCAGCTTGTATATTTTTTTTTACTTTGTGTGAGTTTTCTTTTCATTATCTTTAAACCTTTGTTCTCTTCTACTATTTGAGTAATTACATTAGTATTATATCTTCTTACATCTTTTCTAATTTCCGCTGAAATTCTTTTATTTAGTTTTTTATATTCTTCTTTGTTTCCCTTTTCGTTCTCGCTTAGGTTTCGTCGTATTTCCATGAGAGCTTTTGTATTTTTGCTAATCTTTTCACTTAAGGTGTCATTTTTCTTGCAAAATTTCAGTTGTGTTTTTCTAGCCGAGTCTGTTATTAATTTATTGTGCTCGCCGATACTTAGAAGTTTGGGATTATTACTCTGTAAAGTTCGGCTATATTTTCTATGTATGCTTTTGGATGATTTGGTGAATTCCAAACTATGCGTTTGCATCGGTTTATCATCTTTGCTCTTTCTTTTTGTAGATTTATCGTTACTCTACCTCTTACTGGTCTGTGGTCGCTTATTACTGATAGTTTATTAAGTACAGTGACATCTTGGACAATTTGCTTTTTGTCTTTTATTATATAATCATATTCGCTCTTAGTTCTTCCGTCTGGACTAGCCCACGTCCATTTTCTATTCTGTTTCTTCTTAAAAAAGGTGTTCATTGTATACAGTTTGTGTTGCAGTAGAAAGTTGGTAAGCATTTTGCCTCTTTCGTATCTTACCCCTATTCCAAAATCTCCGATTGCCACTTCTTGTTCGTCCTTTCTCCTTCCGAGTTTCCCGTTAAAATCTCCCATTATCAGATTGTAAGCCGGTTCCTGTTTTTTTGCTCTTGCGATTTCCTCATAGAAGGCTTCGACAATTTCATCTTCGTAATCGCTGGTGGGGGCGTATACCTGGATTATTTTCAGATTCTATCTCTTATTTAGTTGTAGATTTATATACACAACTCTTGGAGAAATGCAGTCAATGCTCTGTATATTTTTCTATAATTTTTTGTGTACTAATAAACCCATTCCTCTATTTGTCGATTCCGTTTACCCTTTATAGTAGAATATGTTTCCTGATTTTAGTTTGACCTGATCTTTACCTCTTCTTTTGACTTCGGAATTCCTATAATATCCCATTTCACATGTTTGAGTTCTTCCTCCAATTCTATCATTTTTTCATCCTTAGATAAGGTTCTTACATTATACATAATTATGTGCAACGTTCGTCGTTCTTGGTAGCCTTTTACATCCCGGGGATTCTTCGCACCCTCTACCCGCTGTTTGTGAGTCCTACCGCTACCTTGGTTGGGCATTAGCGAGCTGCCGGGCACTGAGGGCCATTTTCTTGAATGTGTGTTCATGCTGAGGGGGTTTTGGCATTTAAACACCACGCTTGCCAGGCGGGTTGGTGAGTTGGTTTGAGAAATTGGTAGGATAATAGGTATTGGGTAGGAATGGGGTTAGGACATGATTTCTCTCCACAGGAGTTGAGAGAGAATCAAGGCTAGCGTAGTGCAATCTATCCTCCACTGGGATTGTAGAAGAGTACCTACTCGCTACCACCAGTACCACCACCTTTTCATAGTTCTTGTCAATATCTACCAATAGTCCATCAAACTTATGAACTTATAACTTATCCTTTTATATTTCTCATGTACCTAGTGTTGCTTTATAACAGATAGAGCCATTTCTTCTTAAGTTATAAGTTGAGTACTATATGATCAACATACTACAAAACCACATCCCAACTATCAATTCTTGTTTGTCTCATATAATCGTTAACACACAAAAAATAACTAACCAACTTCGTCCCTTAACACTTAATCAGTTATTTTTATGTTCATGAACTTGTAACTTAAAAAGTTTTACATTTACCAGGTACCAAATGTTGTTTTTTAACATACAGGGCCTTCTATAATTAAGTTATAAGTTAAATATTACATGAACATTACATTACAAAAGTTTTTATTTTATTCACTCAATACCACTTTTAAATATAAAATGTATTCATTCCTATTACACCCATCAACAATAAATTTTCAAGAATCCAACTTCCCACATATGTCTAGTTTCCATTTTTCAGGTACCAAATGTCAAAGAAACATAAAGGACCATGATACTATGAATAACAAGATAGGATCTTCCCGTAGCTCAAAATCGGTCGGGTTGGCGCATGCCGTCATTGGAGACTAGAATTTGAATTCTTGTTAAAGTTAAATGAGATTTGTATGCATTCTGTGATGAAATTACTAGACGAAAATAAGTTAAGAGGTTTAATAATTACAATAATCGTACACATAAGGATATCTCCAAACTATTTATTAAAGATTATTTATTGATATATACAAAAACTGACATTTCGAACGTGCAAGTCTCCAATGACGTCACAAAAACATGCGCAATATCTTATCTTATAGTCATAGTATCATGTAAAGGACCTTATATTAGAATCTCTAATTCACAACACTCTTAGACACATGTATAGTTGGTTGCCTAACAATACACACATAATTCTTTCACCACAATTCATTCATCCTTACCTACCATCCCAGAAACAAATCACCCGGAATAGATAATCTCCCAGCTGAATTATATAAATAAGGTGACCACGATATCATAATAGCGCTACAGCAACTTATAAAAGAAATATAGATACAGAACTCCCT